GAACTGTTCATTTCCTCCGGGGCGGGGTTATGTCTTCCTCTGTCGTCTTTTCATTACTGCTCCAGACGTTTAGTTCACCACAGGTGCGCTCCAAGTATCAGTCAAGACGTCTTCCCATGCCCCTTACCATATTAGGACAAAATAATCAGGAAGTTTGTGGTAATTTGAACAGCACCGATCTAGATTTTCTTCCCTCTCTTATAACATGGGTAAGGAATTAGTCTCTTTAAGTTTCTTTAGAATGTGACTTGGGGCCAGAGAGTTAGAAAAGTTGAAAACACCAACATGAACACCACTCGCCAAATAATCTTTGATCGTATCAAACGACAAGTGGTGTGTAAGATTGACGTTATGGTTTGTAAAATCATTATGAATAAATGATCATTGTGTCTTGCATTAAATCATGAAACCATGCATTTCTCACTCACTGCCCGTAAGAAAGCAAGTAGCTACATTCTATTCACTGTTGTCATTTGTTGTTGTATCTGAAATAAAAAGTGGGATGTTTAAGATCAATACGCTTCTGTACACATGAGTGTAAAGTGATGACGGAGACTGAGACTTGTCAAGTGACAAGGCTCTCTGCTGATCCTAACAAGTCTGATAAACCTTCCACTTCCGTTTGTGCCTGAGATTTGGGAAGGTCTCGGGATCTCCTTACTTGTAACAATTCAATTAATCGGCAAAGTCAGCAAAGGGGAAGAGTCGTAATCGGGGATTCGGGCACTTGTCCATACAGTGCTTAACAGAGGAGTGGGTTCTGTACTCTGTTTAATGCGAGTTTTGTCTTCCAAAATCCTTCCGTCTACAGCTTAAGGCTTGTAGGACAAGTCAATGCAAGCCTTATCTGAAGTAAGGTGAGTCAGTCAGAACTACCTTCGTAAGCCACAAAGTGTTAGAGTTACACTCGTGAGGTAAAAAGGTGGTCCATTGAGTCAAGTACATATTGACAGTGCCAGAAAGGCTATCAAACGGTACCATACCAGCGACGTTATCGGGCTTTCCGTTTTTGTACTTTTCGACCTTTTCAGTTTACGCCAGCCATTTCGGGTAGCAAATGGTAACTAGCTGGCCAATTTGATACTGTCTTGCAGCCACCGGAACATCTGCTTGAGGATTACAAAGATTATAAATGAGTTCTTGGGACAAAGGTACACGAAGGTGCGATGGTAATGACAGCGTACACAGCAGCTCGCTCACCCTCTCCAAGTTCCCCTTATTAAGAACGGCTCAGGGATGACAAAAACATCCCAAGGCCTGCCAGTGACTGATGTGGTTTTACCTTTTACAACTGGCCCTGGACGGGGTTCTCTGTTTTCGGGAGTATCCAGTCCAATATAGACACCGGCACGTCACGGAGGGCTTCCCGGAGCCCTATCAAGTAAAACACATCAAAGCTGCGGCGCAGGACTAGACACACTTCTCTCACAAGTATGGAACAGTATAGAGAGGTCTTTCATTTCATCTATAAACGAAATTGTATGGGAACGGTAGGCTTCATTTGCACACAATAACTTTCAAAGCGTTCCTATGCAGTTAACCGAGGATTAAACTGTAAGCCGGTGGCAAAGGACCATGAAGAGCCGGGGAATTTAAGGGGGCCGTCAGCGGTAGAGAGCTCAGTCTGACAGTCCCGCTTACCAGTTCAAAGACCAGTCGTTGCGCTTGGCTTGGCCCATTGCGGCTGTGGGCTTTCCCATACGTGTCACCGGCTTGATTTTCCGTGGCGGAGAGCCGCTTGGCAAGTTGGCTCAGGACTCGATTGTGCGCTGTAGTTTACAAGTGACTCTTCAGTCTACTCGACAGTGAGCACCTTGGGGTTCCCACCGCCAAAACATCCTGATAGCTTCGGACGTTTTACAGGCGCCCAACGAGAAGAAAAGTGTTGGCGGCTTCAAGAGGCTTTGGTAATTGCTTGGGATCTCATCCTTAAGCTTCGTCGGCGCTCCTAGGTCTGTCTTGTGGCCAGGCGCGCGGTTCAACAAGGTGGGTTCTGCGATATGTCGTACTTGATCGTGTGTTACTGTTGGTTCCCCACAGTGTGTATGTGATTTGCTAAAGGGGTGTGGTGTTCATGTTTTATAAATAACGTCGACGTAATGCATTCAGAAGCGGACTAGGCTTACGCAATAAGAAGAGGCAGTTGTGTAAGTTACGCTCCTTTTAAGTAATGAAAATCTAGTGGAAACAATTGGACAACAGTGTCCAAAACGAGGAACCATTGCAAGAGTTGTATTTGTTATTAGTATCTACAGTATTGAGATGCTCATAGTTTCACGCAATGCTGGCGGTGGAGTTCGCACACGAAACTCATATTGTTCATATTCAGTAACAAGGCATACAGACATGTTCTCCGTCATTAAAATAAGGGCTGGTTAGGATCCTCTAGTGCTTTGCCAGCGAGCCTATCCATGTGATGTTTCCCAGGTAACGGTCAGACCAGGACACCGGTCGACAAGACTGTGTTCTACACCCACACACATCTGCCCGTCTGTCCGTACCTGTTCTTACGCCGGGTGACCTGGCTTCTACACCAGATCTACTCTGACATGTCGTTTGTTTTCTTGTTCTTGAGGGGTGGTCGGGCCAAACGGAACTGTCGGGACGAATGTTCAGTCTCTGTTTCATGTACGGGCCAAGGATGGCGGATCGATAGATTGATCTACAAGGGCCGTAATTGTGCGACATTGTAAACGTTACCACGTCTGGAGTTGTCCTAAACAATTGCTGACATGCTCCATTTCACACACACACACTCAGCATGCACGGCCGGGGCCCGACGTTGTACATGCTCCAAGCATAGCTTTAGGCCGTTTTTGACCGTCTTTTTAGATGCATTAGAATAGATATCGGGCTTACTTTTTTTGTACCGGTGACTTTTTTCATTGCCTGTGTAGTGTATACAAGTGTATACTGTCTTGCCAAATTTTGATGCTGTCTTGTAGCCACCAGAAGATCTGCTTGGAGAGTGGTTGAACATCCATATAGAGCTTTGTACGCCGAATAAGAAATATCATAATGACAGAACGTCCCGACGATTTCTCACGATGACAGTTAGCTACTAAGTGAGTAACGTGTACGTGTTCGTATCAGACAGTTTTCTGGAGGGCGTATCCTGTACTAACATGGTAGGTACATGTACTATCCTGGTCAGAGGCCTAACCGGGACAGCATCCCGATAGACAGGCACTTGTGAATGAGTGAATAAGCGAATAAGAGAATATTCTTGTGCACATGCGAAGCCCTAAAAGTACTCTGTATGGCGTTATTTTCGTAGGAATGACTGCCTTAGTCAATAGTTGTACTTTGAACTTTATTTCCGCCGATATTCCGGCTCCCTGCCCCGTCACCCATGGCATGTCAGGTGCAGGAGCGAAGTGTGTCACGAGTTTAGCCATCAGGGGGTCAAGTATGCGTTTGTCTATTGTCGGCAACAGTAGCATTGTCTATGGTCGGATTTACACAAGCAGATGTCTGCATATTGTACTAGCGACGGCACACAATTTCACTCGCCACGATTTCCTTTGATTACACCTGCAGTATAAGAGGAAGCTGCTAGGGGCACAAGATTTATTTTTTTATCTAGACCGGATAGAACAACGTCACAAAAGGGAAACTGTCCAGAACTACCTTGAGACACCTACGTCTCTTCTATCTACGTCGACGTCGTTCAAAATACGTACTGCTTTTTTCGGCTGCATTGATCTGACATCGCCCATGACATGAAAATATACACATTTCGGTGCTACTAACGTGTTGTTGTGTTTCCTGTCACTTCGCTTGACTTGTTCTGTCGCTAGAAGTGTTACACAGGAATAAACACAGGCCTAAATAGGACAGCGCATTACGTTCTTAAACTTGGATATCTTTGAAGATCTGGGCTAAGTGGTTGTTATCGGGAAGTCCTAATTCTTTTAATAGAGCCGCTTGGGTGACCGTTACAGCCGACTTCTGGCTGTCTCGTACACTGGTGACCATTTCCCACGCACCCCAGCTGTCCCGAGCCTGCAGTAACCACTGTGGTCCATAAATAAACAGCCATCCCAGGGAAAGAGCGCTGTCTGTCTGTTTAGCAAAGCTTTATTCGTTGATTGACAAGAAATGTATGTCCTGTGTGTGGGGCATGCCAACCTTTGTCCCGCAGTAAGCATGGAGGATGGGCTGCACGGGAACATAATCCGAAGGTGTAAGCCCGAAGATGCCTCGATGTAAGAGCGCACAGTTGGAAGACTTCATCCCGAGTCCAGGTGGCAAACGTCGCGTCGGCTCAGATAGTTGGAGTGAAGGCAGCTGCCTGGCCCGCTGAAGGTCTGCCGCTGGAGGGCTGACGGAATCCTTCCAGACAGACCTTCTGTCCAATGCCTGTTACAAGGAGCTGATTCTGTCAGAACTCTGCAGTTAGTGGGTGGCGCAGTGCAGAAGGCGATTCCATCAAACGACTCTGGCGTTCGTCCCCCGCTGCCTCAGGATAGTGTCCTCATTCGAACCGGTCCTGTTTGGGAAGTTTAGCAGATCCTTTCCGGTAACTTGGCGGAAACTTTAACCGGGTACGGTGATTTCTTATCTTGTGAAGTTGCGTTGTTCTCTCTACCATTACATTCTTATCACTGCGACGGCCTGTGTGTACATGTTGCTAGTGTCGCCCTTGTATGCCGCAGGTATGTGCACAAGGACCGCTGTGTTGTATGTTGGTGCAGGCTGTGTGCAAGCCGTTTCTTCGTCCTTTCTCGTGCTTTTGTGTCATGGAGCGCGGTTTTGGTCAGTGTTCTTGAAGCGTTTTTCGACATGCATCCAATAGTATATTAAGTTATGTCATATGTACTTGTAACGTAGTTAAACGAAAACAGTTTTCTTTCAATGTCGCGCTTTTGTCGGTTCCTCCTATTTTCTGCTGCTTAGTCCTCGTACTGTTTGGTCAACAGGGACTTCCCACGACGAGAGGAGAAAGGTTCTGTTTGCAAAATAGTAAACAGCCGACTATTACTGTTTATATTGTGCAGGTCGGCTGCAGACATGAGGTGTGAGCTGATGATGGTGTGGCTGGGCGTGGCGCTGACCTGGTCCCAGCGACTCCCGACAAGGGACGAACAACTCTTCCGACTACAGGCGAAAAATGCCGAGACGAGCCACTGGAACACGAAGGTGCTCCCCGACGGCATGGAGGTTCGGAACTTTCCTCTTCGAAGACGTCACAAAAACGTAAGTAAATTCAACCCCGTCTTGGAGTCTCATTATATATTATACTAGTAGTAGGTGCAGTACAATAGCTCCCAAAGCAGACCGTGCTCTCTGCCACCTCAGCTCATTTTGACATTGCAATCATCAGCCGACTTACATGCAGAATGTTGAACAGATAAGATATTGTAAGCGGGCACGTATCCAGGCTTGAAGTGCCACCTGTTTGAAGAGAAAAAGATAATGAAAAATATCTTACATCTTACTAAGAAAAAGCATCTGCTGTGTGGACTGTGTTCTTTCTTCTGGTACGTTTTTGATTTGCGGTAAGGAGTATCATGATATTGCCTGGACTTTAAGGCGTTGAAAGGCTGGAGGTCAGGCTTACGTCTGCCTTAAATTACAACCTCCAGCCTTGAACTGTAACAGTGTTAGCATTAACACGCGATGTCTGGACTGATAGGCAATCTCGTAACCTTCAAAACTGTCCATAGCTGCGTCACAACCTCTTGGCATCTTACGAAGCAAGTTGTTTCTATACATAATGTAAGAAATGAGGTTCTGATCTACTAAACGCGGATCATGCTCAACCTAGTAACTAAGTAAAACAAACTGCAAACATCGTATGCAAAGTTCACGTTAGGGTAACCCTACTTTTCCGCATGACTGTTTTCAATCTGTAACATTCATTTAATGCTATTACGGTTGAAGAAATCAAGACATTGCACCAAACCACGCTGACGAAACCGCTCGTCTGCGGCAACTGATATGGCTGACATAGAAAAGGCCATTCAAGCAAAGCTCTGAACATTTTAGGCTAGTTTTTTTATTTTACCATTTGGGACGTAACTATAGATTTTACATGTGCATACGACAAGAGAGGAGTCATTGCATGTTTGTCTGATCCATCTTTTTACAGTGCCCTAAACATTGCCATCAATGCCATGTTTGTATGGCTTTGTCTTGTGTGTCTATATCTGCACAGACGGTATAGCTGCCCCTTGGTGTAACGCACCAGGTTCACAGGCACTCCTGTAACACCTAGTCAACATGTTAAACATCTTATAATAAACTTACTTGCTTACTTTTGCCCTTCGCTGTATAATCAACACCGGTACCACTACTATATTGCTAATGAGGTTTTATATTTCGATGTCCAGGTACTATTTCTTTGTTGAAGACGAAGGTTCCCCCGTGCTGATCGTGGTGGAACCCTGTGATACAGAGATCGAGTGGAAGGTCACTCAACACGAAGTCACAGAAGGCGTCGGGCTGGACGGGTCAGGTGGGCTTTCTCTTACCTACAAAAATTACCAATCTGTGCCAGAATAGTAAGACAATGACCTCTCTGGATGACGTATTATAAAGGTTTGTCGTTGATTATGCAAAGAAGGTCCTAATTTGCATAAACTGCAAGTGATTCTCTCTGCCCAAATACAGAACGTCAAAGTTTGAAAGTCTTTATGAAGAAGGCTGTTGTAGCATTTTTGCAAGCTTTGCTGCAGTATCAAGGAAAGCCGCCAGGCGGCCCAAAAGCTAATTATTTCTTCAATGGGGGCATGTTGGCCCTGGGGCCGAAGGACTGGCCTGTGTAGACCCTGGAAACAGTCTGGCCCAGGCTAGACTTGTTGTAACGAAAGTATTTCCCGGGTCTGAGCCTACAGACCGACAGGTTGTCGGTTAGTAGTGTCAGGTATCTCGTTACTAGCAGGTGCTACGACGGGTCACTGCATACCTTTATTTTTAGCATGTAAATGTTTTCCTGTTTCTGCATTTTAAACCAACAAACCATAACTCATGACAGACCCCGGGACGTCGGCTCGGCTACTGAACATTTCAGCCCGTGCGTGGTATGTTTAGACTAGTAAGTTAAGCAAACGTAGCTGTAGAACTTACTGTAGTTTTGGACTTGATACTAGAGTCACTTCAAGATGCCACTTCATTATATCTGTGTTAGTCCCTTAAAAGTTACCAGGTCTGTTTGAAGCAGTACCCTATGTGATGTCTCAGAGCTAATCATTGACCGCATTTCTTTGCCATTCCAGGTCAAACTGAACAAATGGAGGAGCAGGGACGGAAGGGACCCAGCCTGACAGGTCCTGTGGTCGGAACCTTCTCCGGCCATGACGTCATGTCGTACTACAACCGCGCCTCCCAGCGGGCCATGTACAGAGTGCAGGTGACGTCCCGAGGCGCAGACACGCTGTTCGGCATGTACGCCACCACCACGCCGGACTCCGACAAGCCTTACCCGGAGGTACCCGGCGATCCGGAGGTGAAAGCTTCAGAAGTCGGCAAATCCTCTGCAACTTTGTCTTGGGAACCTAGTCCCACGGAGACGAAATTCCACCTACCGGTTAAGTACTGCATTGCAGTCAACAGGGAGAGGAACTTGAAGACCCTGTGCGCCGTCACGTCGCGGCGGAGTGGTGGGGACGACATGCCGATGCCACCACCGCCGTTCAGATTCGGATTTGACTTCGATTTCAAGAGTTTCGGCTTCAAGCGGCGAGGAAAGAAGCGCCGCAACCGAGATAAAATAGTTTTCCCTGACTCCAAGGCGATTGCACCACAAGAGAACATCCTTTTCGAGTGCGTCGGTGACAAAACAGCCTACACTGTGGCGGGTCTACAGCCCGGGACTCAGTACTTTTACGACGTTTTCGTGGTGAGCACTCTGACCAATCGCAGCTCGGCTTACACAGGGGGAAGGCTGGAGACCAAACAGCACAAGCGGAGAACGCGTTTGAAAGACGGGAAGGTGACCACCGCCACCGTCAAACGGTCCAAGGGCCAGGCCTACACCGTCACTGTCGGCGACACACAGTCGTCTCCTCTCCAGCTAACCGTCCAATCGTGCATGGGGGAAGTCAGCGTGAAGGTTTCCCGAGAAGGAGACGTTGTGGCTAAGGAGTCTCGTGTCAACTCCTTATGGAACCTCGTCCTTACGAACCTGACGGAAGGAGACTACCAGGTGGCCGTCAACAGTAAGCGCAAGCGGCCCTCAACGTTCAAGATTTTTTCCACAACAAATCCCGCCAAGTATCCCTACGCACAGATGCCAAGCGACACGAGGATCAAACAGTTTGAAAAGCTGACGACGTGCGACTCGGCAACCATCGCGTGGTTAGTTAACGACGAGCGGTCTAAATACTGTGTGTACAAAAGCGTTGTGAGCAAAAAGGTGTTCCGACGGAGATCGGAACGGGACAACTCCTGCGAAAGTCCGCGAACGAGAAAGAAGGACGACAAGGTAATATGTAGACATCATCGGCCCGGGGCGGTGGACAGATCGGTCATGATCGAGAGAATATCCGGGCTCAAGCCAGGAACGAGGTACAAGTTCGACGTGTACGTCCAGAAACACAGAGGGGAGACAGGCCAGGCTCTCAAGTACAGAAGCGTCTACATTAAAACTAAGCGGCGCTGCTGAATGAAGCACACATAGTCATATGAACGTTTGAGTTTTTTTTGTAAGTTTGTGCGCAGGTGGCTCAGGACTTCAGCGGAATTTTTCTGAAGCAACAAAGAACATGAATGGAAATGAACCATTCTTGTGGTAGAAAAGGATGTAAATTTTGATGTGTGGATCGTAATGCGTAAGACTGTTCAAGGATTTTGTACAACTTTAATGCACAGTAATATGCCCAATGGCAATGTATTTCTGTAAAACAAGGAAAGTCGCACTTCGACCAGTTGGCAAGGACAGATAGTAGATGGTTGGTAAAAATCGTTACAGAACAGCTTTTAAGGATGATAAGGATATGCGTTCAGATATGACACCAATAAGGAAAAATTAAAAGCAATGGCCCTGAATTCTGAGTGCATCTGCCGGACAGATGTTGTGTATTGTGTCAAACATTGGCGTGCATATCTTATACTACCCGGTATTATATACACTTTTTATACTGTGCTGGCAATGCACCTCGAAAATAAGGCCATGTATCGGAATGGAATTTATGAAAAAGGAAAATTTCGTAACCAGGCGACTTGCATGTACCATAACGTCCATATATGGATATCTTAAGTTTAGGTACATAACTTATATCTGTACAGTTAATGTCTTGATTTTGTGCACATATGCAGTTAAGGTATACCAGGAACTACCCTACCGCTAGTCTGTTATACAGACTTGTACAGCTTGCATCCCAACTGTCACATCCCTGCTCCCACGGCTGGGTACCAGGCTAACTAGCTAGGCTCAGGTACACAGGGTGTAGCTACCTCCAACTCTGGAGATGAACTACTACTAGTCTCCAAGCAGATCCTACGGTGGCAAGACAGTATCCATTGGCCAGGGAAGTACCTGGGCTAATGGGCACTCCTTTGACCAATGGATACCTTGCCATCGTAGGATCTGATTGGAGATAAGAGTTGAACCGCATCACATTGTGGTTTTATTAACCAATCCCATAGCACCTTCCATCCCTGCCAAAACATAGAAATGCAGACATTTGACGGACCTGCGGTCACACTCTCATTGGTCGAACCGCTAATTGCCATCCTCTCATTGGTTGATTATTACTGCTAGTAATAATTACGTTGGACAGTCAGGATCGGTCTATTACATGGTGACATTTTGTTATGGTGCCCTTGTATTGAGTATTCCCTTTTTGATTTCTGGTGTGATACTTGTCAAGATTTCAATTGATTATATTGGATTTGGTACTGACTTGGTAGGAACAAATGGGAATAAAGATATTGGATTTTATGCATTATGAATGAAATTTGGTGGATTTTCTATGCAAAGTGCACTTTCTCTATGTTTTAGCATAAGTTTTCTACTAAGATACCATGTCAGAACTCATAAGACCTTGACGTAAAACACGAGATGCTTCTCAATAATCATCTTTTGCAAGATTTCATTACGTTAACAGAGTAGTCAAAGTAGCTCAGAACCAAGAGATGCCAGGTTCGATGCCCAGACTTTGGGAAAGGCACACAACTTTCCTCACTGTACGGTGGAGTGCTAACCACCGAGCCTCTTGGCTAATCTGTGTCCTCACATTGATGAGGACAAACATAGGCTAAGTGTTGCCAGTGTGTTATGAACTACACATTTGCCACTACCTTTTTTGTCAAAAGACTGTTCCAAGCATGCGTTCATTCTGCAAAACCAGGCCCAAACATTACAAATAATTGTGTTCATACACAAAAAGCACCATGCTTATTTGAGCTACACTATTTTTGTTCTGAAGGAAAAAAGATGTTGAAATCATTTAACCAGAACATCAAGAGTAGCACAGTTAAGTATGGATCCATGTCTGGATAACTAACGGATGAAATAATGTACTACTGGGGAATCTAGGGACAAAGAAAAATGTGAAACTTGTACGGTTACCCTACCAACATTTCAAAAACCCAACAGTTAAGCATAACAGAAGTTTTTATTCAGTTGAAGTACTTTAACAGTACACATTGTAGTCAGTAGATTATGTTCATTTTCTGGCACTGCTTCTTACACCTGTAACCTACAAAAGTCTTCTAGAAAACAAAAGGGCCTTGAAAGATGTCAAAACACAACACTTCAAATAAAGGTATGATTACTGGTTGTTTGTAAACATCGTGAGAAGCAAGTTGTGGGAAACTCATGAATGAGTCAAGAAAGTTTGTAAGGATCTTCCCTCACTATGTAGATTGTGAGTCTAATAATTTGTTTTAAGCAAGAAGAATGCCTTACACTATGCAGACACTGGGTTTGAGATCCATAGTCCTTTACACTGACAAGAAAATGGTCAGGAACCATGTAGGTTCAGTCACTGTTTAGTGTGAAGGGTTAGAACCAACACCAAGACATATAGAGATACATAGAAACGTCCAGTTAGAAACATCAGCAAAACTGTTTGGAAATAAAAGCTACCTTGAAGTTCATTGTTTGCAATCCCGTCAATTTTTCCAACATCTATATCAATGTAGGAACGAACCTGACAAGATTTTACACTATCGGTAGTACAGTACTTTCACAGTGGCCGTAACAGCCACGAAAAATAAAAGGAAACGGAGAAAACTACCTTCTGATGATAGAATAAAGACACAATGATTAGTGTTCTGTGTAATGCTGCTCTAACATGTCTGATGTGTGTGGCATGGAAAACAAATTATACCAAAACAATATAATAATAATACATCATCTCTTGGTATCAAAATTCCTGAAAGGGGCACACAAAATAATTTTGAAACTGTATGAGCCAAATAGCATGCATTTCAGTGCCCCCATCATGAGTGACAATACCACAAGATAACACATATACGTAATATCACAACTAGTTTTAGAAATAACAATTATTCCCTTAACATGGATTTGTAATGGTCTAGGGAGCTGTTTTTCACTTCATTGTGATCATAACTGCTCGAGAGTTTAAAATTGGAGACTATGTTCTAACTCACTCTTTCTGGTTACTGGTACGCGGTGAAATTTAATGGTGCGTCATGGTCACTTCGTCATAGTACAGGATTTATCATGTGAAAATACCAAAATGCAAGTTTTAGTATGAAAACACAGCCATCCCCCAGTGTGACGAAAGTTCTACAATGACTGATTATGGAATAATGTACAAATGGTTCCAGTCCTGACCACTTTGGCTAGGACAGAATGCTAGTACACATAATCAAATGATTATCTCTCCTGTTACATTTCTACATGATAGGTCCGAGTAGAGCAAACCAACATGAAAGTTAAGTTTGTACCCCCTTGTAAGGTTTTACCTCACTTCTTTGGACAGGCCAAGTCCAAATTTACGGTTTTAGGCACAGACAGCAACTACTTAGTATCATCGTCAGAAAAAAATGAGTGGAGTAAAGATGAAGATCCCCATATTGTTGTACAGACCTAACTTTTTTGTTACGATTTAAACAAATTGATACCACCACACACATATCTGGTTAACAACAGAAAGACGCGATAATGTTTCTGCTGGCTGGAATTTGTCCCTTGTTTTTTTTTGTGGTTTAGTATATGGCCAGGGTATGGTCCACTTTTTAAGAGGGTGAGTCAGGTGTTGAGAACCTTCAGTGTTTACAGGAAGTAGTCGGGGGTGCGTCTCGTGACGTGTGGCTCGCCGCGGCGTGGGGCGGGGTCAAACTGCAAGCTGTAACGAGAATAACACAGTCTTCATTAATGTGTGGTACGAAAGGGGATAACTAAAGGAGTGCCAACATTAACGAGTGTAACATTACAATTCAATGGCCAACTAAGGATATAATTTCTTGCCAATGGTAAAGTCACCAATGAAGGTTAGACACCCAGGTAATGAGATACACAAGAAAACTGTTACTTAAGCAACAGTTACACAAGTTTTCTTATGTAGTGGTAGGGTCTATAAGGTGACAAAAGTACTTGATTGACTAACAATCACATAGGAAGGTACACAAAAAATTTGAGCACCATTAGGAGACAGAGATTTTTCTATGATACACAAAGGTCTCCCACAGGAAAACATGCAATGCACATTGAATTCTGGGATGGTTGGAATGGTCCTCGAGGGGTTATAACAACTCTGAGGAAGTACACTCCTGGACCAGAGCAGCCTTCTCAAAACAAGCCGGCTACCGGCGAAAATCGCCGCCTACTCAAATTTTTGCGCCGGCTACTTTCGTCAAAATTTTCAAATTTTTGCGCCGGCTACTTTCGTCTAAATTTTCAGAAAAACAAGTAAGCTCCGTTACATTTTCTCACAAACTTCACCGGCTCATTTCTTCTGACCAACTTCAGACAAATTTCTGCTAGCTTTCTGGATCTGAAAACTGCTTCTTTCTTAGCCTCCTGTGCAGATTTCTAGTGCACGAGTCAGCGTTTGCTTCTACGAGCGGCCCGCGGCCGGCCAGAGCGGCCGAAACTTCACGGGGGGGAGGGTCTTGTTCGGGGCTCGAGTTGTATCCGCGGAGCTGTATCGCTCGAGCTAGGCGGAACTTGCTTCGTAAACTCGTTGCTCACGAAAATTTATCAAGCCGCTACCTTCCCAACTTCTCCCGGCACTAGTAACATTCCTGCTACAAATAACTAGTACAAATCACGTCAAAAAATATCAAGACATGTATAGAAGCGTGTTCATATCTTTCATACACAGAGACAAATTTTCAAAAACAAATCGCCATCAGCGAGATTTCACAGCTGTTTCATTCATCAAAAGTTCTTGTCGATCGTAAAATGATCACTCATCTGTTGTCTCCACTAGTGTGGCATTTGTAGCTTAATCACGGCTAGCCAAAAATCAGCGTC